TAGCCTCCCACATGGCAAAAGGTAATTCTCCTGCAAGAGCTTCAATTTCTATCTGCTTCTGCTCCCACTGTTTTTCGCCCAGGTCAGGGTTCATCCCTTCTTCTGCACTGGCCTCGATAATGGTCGCCAAACTACAGAGATTCCCTTCATAGGGGCTGAGCTCACCTTGACCATGCTCTGCCTCCAAGAAGCCTGACAAAGAGGCAGTGGTCGGCTGGAGATAGTCGTCTTGATTAGTAACTGGAACAACCATCTGGCCTTCAAATTCAGCACTGATTAGCAGGTTGTCTGAGTCCTGGTAGCCCACCACCTCCTCTCGTGTCTGCACGATGACCATTTCCTGATCATGGTCCCCATTACTCAGGGTACTGCCTACAAGTGGCTGCAGAGCAATAAGAGGAGAGTGGTAGTGGCCACCATGTGCCCAATCGACACCTACGTCTTCGTACAATTCGATGGTTTGAATTGCACTGGTTTCCACAGAAACCGTTTCTACATTGAGTGGCTGAAGCTCCACAAAATCATCGGGAATCTCTGCGTTTTCTGAGGTGAGACAGATAAGTTTCTCTGAGGCCATGGCTGAGACCCACGTAGCAGTACTGGGTAGCAAGCAGGTGGGAGATTGCTGTGGAGTAGAAAAAAAATCAGGAAAGAAAAGCACGCGCTAGCGTGCTTAGAAACAACAAGAACAACGACGACAAAACGACAAAAACAAACAAACAAACAAAACAAAACAAAAACTCAAGAGCTTGACAACGACAAAACAACAGGAAAAACAAACCCAAGAGCTCGACAACAACAAAACAACAAGAAAAAACGAGCCCAAGAGCTCGACAAAACAAGAAAAAACGAACCCAAGTGCTCGACAACGACAAAACAAGAAAAAACGAACCCAAGACCTCAACAACGACAAAACAACAAGAAAAAAACAAACCCAAAAGCTCAACAATGACAAGAGAAAACGAACCCAAGAGCTGGACGAAAAGCGTGCGCTTCGGAGAAAAGCTGGCCGTCGTCTGAGGCGTTAAGTGCTGTTTCCGGCAGGATATGCGCATGCGTTGGACACGCCACTGCATGCGTCATTGGACGTGCCACTGAATACGTCACTGCACTGCGACAGACCATCCAGGAAGCATATCCTGCGCATGCCTAAATGATCTGCCTAAATGATAGTGCACCTCTGAAGGGCTTGTGGAGCCTGCATTGGCTTTCCTGCTGTCCTAATTACTGACTGAATATAAGTTTCTCTTCTAGGAGATTCTTTTCTGAAGTTTCCTTATTTTATTTCAGTTGATTTTCTTAACTCCCCTCACACAGGCTTATATCAGATCTGGAGAAAAGAAAAGTCTCTTTCTTTTTCTTTTCTTTTTTCTTTTTTTTGTTTTTGTTTTGTTTTTTCGAGACAGGGTTTTTCTGTGTAGGTTTGGTGCCTGTCCTGGATCTTGCTCTGTAGACCAGGCTGGCCTTGAACTCACAGAGAGCTGCTTGGCTCTGCATCCTGAGTGCTGGGATTAAAGATGTGTGCCACCACCACCCGGCAAGTCTATTCCTTTTTAATTTTACACTTTGTGTCTGCATATTATACAAGTACCCTACCACTGAGCTATATAACTTCAGCCCCTTTATAATTCTTTATTTCCCCTTATTTAACCACAAGACTTACTAATATATATGCCATAAGTAATACTTGATTGTCTTGTCCATATATATATATATATATATATATATATATATATATATATATTTGGTTTTTCGAGACAGGGTTTCTCTGTGTAGCCCCGGATTCCTGGATCTCGCTCTGTAGACCAGGCTGGCCTCAAATTCACAGAGATCTGACTGTCTCTGTCTCCCAAGTATTGGGATTAAAGTCATGCATGCACCACCACTACCTGGCTTTGTCCTTTAATATATTTAATAAATACATGAAATATCCAACTACTCCTTTTACTATGACTTAAAAAATATTAATATGTTAATTTTGTTTTAGTCTTAACATCTTAGATGAGGAAAATTTTCCCTGACAGTAAATTTTCATTTTCAAAATTTACTGTTAAAGTATCCTTGCCTTCTTGAAATATACGACATTTGTGCTTTACCACAAAAAATATCTGTCAGTGCTGTATTTTCTTAACAAAACTTCATTTCTGCTAGGTATTAGAGGGCATATGCCTACACTCTCAAGTCTCTGAAGGTGGAGGCAGGAGGAACTGGCATTCAAGACCAGCTTGGACTACATAGTGAGACCATGTCTCAAAGAACAAAACAAAAAACCCCAAACCCTCCACAAAAATCCAACTACAACAATCAAAACAATAGAAAAGCTTAGCTGCCTTCTGTATACGATCTGAAAAAGTTTATGCTAAATTTTCTTTTTTTAACTCTACTTCTGATAAAATACATATATATGGAATGAAAACTGTGGAGAAAACTACAAAATATGCTTGAACTATTTTGAAAATATCTGCTGAGTACTATGCATGTCACTTAAACTTCTGAATTATGATAGTACTTTGGAATGTTAGCTTTATACAATACATTCTAACTGCTGTGTGTATCTAAATATTTGCCTCAATATAAACATTATCAGTGAACTAATATTTACTGTATAAGCATTGTTTTAGGTATTAGAACTGCATTGTACTATAATATCAAAGGAAAAGGACTACCATGATGACATTCAGCAATTATTTAATGTTTAAAATGACACATTTTTTGACTACCAAGGCATACATACACTTTATAATCTTTTTTAAGAAAAAAATTTATTAAGGATTTTTTTGTTTGTTTTTGTTTTTTTTTTTGAGACAGGGTTTCTCTGTGTAGTTTTGGTGCCTGTCCTGGATCTTGCTTTGTAGACCAGGCTGGCCTTGAACTCACAGAGATCTGCCTGGCTCTGCCTCCCGAGTGCTGGGATTAAAGGCATGCGCCACCACCACCAGGCCTTTATTCAGGCTTTTATTATTCTACCTATAAAACTTTTAGGGAAATTCTTTATCAACTTTTGTAATTTCTTCTCGTGTAACTAGCCTGTTTAGTTAATTTCAGCTATCTTCACATTCTTATATTTCTTCATTTTCTGAAAACTTCTTTTACATGAACAAAAAACACAAATCATATGACTCACCAATCTGAATATAAATTCTGTCGATAGCTGTTTCTCCCTGTTGTTTAATGTTTTATTTATTTTTTTCCAAATAACTCTTGGGTTTAACACTCTGGCTCTTCTGTAATTTCTTATTTTTTGATTGTATCATTATTAATTACCCCATTATTTCTTTATATTATATGTGATAATTTTCCCTGTATATTTCTTTATATTATGTGTGATAATTTTCCCTGTATGTATGTACATGCACCACATGCCTATCAGGTGTCTGTGGAAGTCTAAAGATTCATCAGATTCCCTGGCCCTGGAGTTAAGGATGGCTGTAAACTGCCATGTGGGTGCTGGGATCTAAGGTCCTAAGCTAGCTAGGTCCTCTGCAAGAGTAGCTAGTTCTCTTAAACTCTGAGCCATCTGTCTAGCTCATATCCCATTATTTCTTAACTATTTTATACTTGTCTTCATATGTCTTAAGTTGATTGCCTGCCTGACTTATTTTCATTTCTAATTTTATAATAACTGTGTATGGCATTGAATTTTTATTTTAGTAAAAAGCTTTATACTGTGTATCTAGTAAAATGATCTCATTATTATCTATAAATAATTAATCATAATTATCATATCATTAAGCTATTGTTTTTTAATTAAATGGACCCAATGTGTGATTAAGACAAATTTCTAAATTCTCCTATTATTCTTTAGATTTGAGATTTGTGAATATATGGATTTATTTTTTGTTTGTCAACATCATGGACATTTAAAAAGAAAGTGACTCCTGTGTTCATAACATACAATCGAACTTACCTATTTTTATATAACTAATTATGAGATTCCATGGTTTTACTTTATAATTATCTCCCATGTTATGAGATGAATATATTATATTTATATTTGTCCTTCTACTTTATCCATTTTGCTTGGTGTTCTGATTTTGTATTTCACAGAATAAAAATCACAATTATTAGTTCTCATAATAGATTTTATTTCTTATTAAGTGACTTTCTATTATTTGCATAGACTATTCTGATATTCCAATATTTGATTAATTTTTGGATAGATTTTTCTAAACACCACAAACTTGGAATACTTTTTAAATCTTAACTAAGGCCTTTTTGTACTGCTAGAGATCAAACCAAGGGCCTCATAGATGCTAGGCAAGCACCCTACCAGTGAAATACAGTGACATGCTTTTGTAGAGAAATAAATTACCCATGGAAGGGCCTGTTTAACAAATCTTCCCTATGGAATTGAAAGGAGATATATATATATGTTGTATACCTCCAGGTGAGTCTTTCTGTCTGGTTGAACTCCAACAGTGCCAGAGTTCAGCATCAATCCTTGCATACCATCTTTTCTTCATTCTTGAATTAGGATTTATCATGTGACTGACTTTTCATGTTCTCTCTTGACTTTTGCACGTTTCTTTGTATATTTCAGCTAAGTTGACATTCTTCATGTTGTGGTTTCAGGTTTTGACCATTCCTTTGCTTTAGTAAATATAAAGCATTCTCCTCTGTTTTTAATTTAAATTTTTAATAATTTATGTTGGTTTAAAAAAATTGCTTTTGGCCAGGTGGTGGTGGCGCATACCTTTAATTCCAGCACTCAGGAGAGAGAAGCAAGTGGATCTCTGTGAGTTCAAGGCCAGCCTGGTCCACAGAACGAGTTCCAAGACAGCCAAGGCTGTACAACACAGTGAAACCCCGTCTCAAAAAACAAGCAAAAACAAAACAAAACAAAACAAAACAAATTTGTTTTTGAGGTAGTATAAGAAGCTAAATTTATTAACCAAATGTTATTTTTTATAAGAGTACTTTCAATAAAATCACTAAGCACAGAAAATCCAAACCCAAACAACACAGAAACATTTAAAAAAACAATGAAGTCTATTTGTTACCTGCACAGAATATCCTCAGCTGCTGGACTGGTGATATAAGTTGTAAATGGGCGGTGAACAGATCAACAAATGCTCCAGGATAAATAATGAAGAGAAAAATTCCAAAGCCATTAAATCGAACTTGTTCCCTAAGAAAACATGGAAGAAATCATGTAAGGAAAACAAATTTACTGATATAATAGTATTTGTTAAGTTAATAATGATGTAATCTTTTTTTTTTTTTTTGCTTTTTCGAGACAGAGTTTCTTTGTATAGTTTTGCGCCTTTCCTGGATCTCACTCTGTAGCCCAGGCTGGCCTCAAACTCACAGATCCGCCTGCCTCTGCCTCCCGAGTGCTGGGATTAAAGGCGTGCGCCACCACCGCCCGGCATAATGATATAATCTTAAAATTCATTGTAATTCAAATAAAAAATAATCTCCCTGAATAAGTAAAACATATAAAATAAAAACTAATAATCATAACTTTAAAATAGTGTAATAAATAATAAAGTTTTGGCCTAGGCTCTAGAGAACACTGAAATATACTTAAAATGCCAAATTTTTAGGATTTTGCTATTGTTGAATATATAATTGAAATTTGATGAATATAAAGATATAGCTAATAATTTTATGAGAAATCAATGATAGAAATTTATATAAAGTACTAGAAACTATTTTCAGAGAAGGACAAGGAGGAATAAATAACTCAAATATATGATTCAAACACATTTGTAATCTTAGTTATTATAAATAATCCTCAAGATTTATGTAGGTATATTTCTGTTGAGCTAATGTTGACTGCATTTAAAAATAGTTAATGGTGCCAGGCAATGGTGGCGCATGCCTTTAATCCCAGCACTCAGGAGGCAGAGCCAGGCAGATCTGTGAGTTCGAGGCCAGCCTGGTCTACAGAGCGAGATCCAGGACAGGCATCAAAACTACACAGAGAAACCCTGTCTTGAAAAACACCAAAAAAAAAAAGTTAATGGTAAGATAGTCCTTAAAAGGAGTAGTTTTCCCACCATTTTATTTCTAAAAAACATATATTTAATAGTCTCACAGGACCAAACTGGTACTATGAGGAAAGTACTAGCTGAACAGTAAATGCACAAGACAACTATGTAATTCACTCTTTGTTGGTAATGAGATTTATAAACAATTCCTAGTTCATAGTGGCAGACAGTCTATGCAGCCTGCTAGGACTGTAAACCTTATGAGCTATAACAACACACCAACCTGCCAAGATTGTTCTGTGGATAACCAACCACTTTTCTGATTGGATTTAGGCCTGTTCCACAGGAGGGAACTCATGCTTACTACTAGTAAACCTGGCTAAAACACATGTGGGGAGGTGTGGCGGTTTAATAAGGATGGCTCCCATTAGCTCATATATTTGAATGCTTAGTCACCAGGGAGTTGAAGTTTGAAACGATTAGAAGGGATAGAGGTGTGACGTTGTTGGAGTAGGTATGGCCTTGCTGGAGGCAGTATGTTACTGGGGGTGGGCTTTGAGGTTTCAAAAGCCCATGTCAGTCTCTTTCTCTCTGCCTGCAGATCAGAAAGTAGAGCTCTCAGCTACTGCTCCAGTGCCATGTGTGCCTTCCTGCTTCCTGCCATTAAGGATCATGGACTAAACCTCGAAACTGTAAGCAAGCCCCCAGCTAAATGCTTTCTTTTATAAAAGTTGCATCGGTCATGGTCTCTTCACAGTAATAGAATAGTGACTATGACAGGAAGTCACAGGCCCTAAGGAAGAATCTACTATTATTGTTTTGCTAAATAGATATCATATTAAATTGCCTTCTAAAGAATTAATTATCTTTATATCCATAGATTAGTGCTGTTCTCAACCATTATCAGAGACACTTGTGCTATTTAATTTTTGCAATGGATGGCAGTTAAACAGACTCACAACTGGTCAAAGTGCAGCAAATAAGTGACTGTGAGTGCTCAGCTGTAAATGGGACATTGATATACACCCACTCCCTCGAGGCTCAGGCAGACACTGTAGAAGAGGAGGCAGAAAGATTGTAAGACCAGAGTTTGGGAAGGACTGCTGCCAAACTACCTTCCTGATGTAACTTGGCCAGTACACTCATGAACTCACAACAGCTATAGTTGCCTGCATAGGACCACAAGATCAAACCAGTCAACAGCATAGCATGACTGGGGGAGGAGCTCATGAGGCACTTCACCCAGCTGAGGAGTGATTGGCAGTTGATGGTTTCTGGGAGATTGCCAATGCTCCAGTGGATGGCACTACAACCATGTATGTACCAGGTAGCACTAACTGAACTTAGTGGGTTACTTACTAAGTGGTGCGGGGAGAAGGAGATGTGGGGGTCTGAGAGGAGTTGGAGGCAAGGAGTAAGGGATGGATATGATCAAAATGTATCATACACATATGTGAAATTCTCAAAGAATAAATAAAAGTATTATATTTTAAAAGTTTTCCAAGCTGTTTCACAAACATACTGTAAATTATGAAACTATTAATAATAATGTTTTTAGATGTAAAACCCTTAAGTTTATAGGGCTAAACATATGGAAGGAAAAATGAAATTTGTAAGAGGTAACCAGGGCTGGTGAGATTGCTCAGTAATAAAGCTGCTTGCTATCAAACCTGATAACCTGAGTTCAAGTCTAGGAACTCACCTATAGGAAGAGAAATAATTCCTGAAAAATGTTCTCTACCTCCACACATGTGACACATGTATACACCCATCCCTACACTCATATACACTGCCTCTTTAAACCAGTAGTGTGCATATATGTTCAAACATGCTGTGTTAAGATGAATGTCTATTATCAGAAGCTAGATTTGTTCATAAGAAACTGGAAAATGATGATTAGTCTTCTCCTCCAGAATAGTGATTTACCTTTTCCCTGGTGCACACATACAAAAGAGAAAACATACCTGTCAGCATGCTTCTTATTATGGCAGGAATTGCCATGGAGTATCAGGGAAGTTGTGACTACCCTTGCCTTCTTCCCATCTTAATTAGTTAGGTGTAAATAGAAAGATACATTTGGGTAGTCAAAACCACCAACACAGCATGATTCCCAAAGTCAGTCCTAGGTCTCATCCTCTATCTTCCACCTGGGTTGCTAGGTAGGCTTAGATATCATTGAACCCAGCACTTCTAGCCAACTTTTTATTCTAGCCAACATGAGACAGGGACAGAAACAGGAAACTGTTTCAGTTGATAAGGTAGAACTAGGTACAGTGGCACACATTTATTTTCCTAATACTTCAGAGACTGAGGCAGGAAGACTCTGAGTTTGAGGCCATCCTGGGCGAAAGAGACCTTTCCTGCTGACTACATTCTGAGCAGTGGCAGAGACTTGAGTTCAGTGACTACTAGAGGACCGGTTAGCAAGCTGGTTCTGTGGATAAGGGAGCTTTCTGCCAATCCTGTGACCTGTTGGAATTCTGGGATCCACATGGCAGAAGGAACACAGCAACTTTCACAGGTTGTTCTGTGACTTCCACAAGCATGCCACAGCATGTGCATGTGTGCGCATACATATACGATAAATAAGCATAATTTTAAAACAAAAAAGACTAGATAAAACCCCTGAAGCACTGAGATTATAATCATGCTGGCATAAAGCAAAGAACAGAAAGAGTTAGAATACAGATGATCACATGATTAAAAGGACACATCAGCAATATATTAATTTTTTTCTATAAAAGAGACGCTGCCCCAAAATAATAAATGGAGGGCATACATTGAGTAATATCTACCGAAAGGAAAAAAACAAACAAACAATCCAAAACCTCAAATATACCAGATTTGAGGAATGAATCTTCTTAAATGAAAAGCTGCTTTGCATGTAGTAGAAAAAAGAAAGTTAAATCTTATTACCTAATAGCTGCTATACCGTGTCCAATTTCATGTACAACACCACTAATGAGGACTGCAGCGAAGAAGTAAGTCAGCTGATTGACAGGTAAATTTATACCAGGAACCTGTTTACAGACATAACACAGCAATGATTATCAGTGTGAGTACAGCAGAGTCCTATTTAAAAACCAAGAGGTATGACCTTCACTCTGTCTAAGCTCCAAACTTAATATTCCATGATCTAAAAGCATTATGACCATTAATGATCAATTTTTATTTCTAGCATAACTAAGGAAAAGAAGCAATGTTTTGTTTTATTTTAATTTAGGTAATTTCTATAAATTAGGCTTACTATCAATTTAAAGAAAATGGGAAGGACTGCATTAAAAAGTTACATATCTAGATTCCCAAGAACTTCACCATGGGACAGAATGAGGGTACCCTGAGTGCCAGGGAAAGCAGGGTGACAATGAAGCTGGCAGTGGTTGAGCCATCCTTAAGGGTTGGATGCTCAATTTGGGAACTCTTCTTAAAATTCTTAGTCCTAGACAGAGGTAGCAGTGTATGCCTTTAATGCCAGCACCCAGGAGGCAGAGGCAGGTGGATCTCCGAATTCTTGGTCAGCCTGGTCTACAGAGCGAGTTCCAGAATGGCCAGGGCTACCACAGAGAGACCCTGTCTCAAAAAAAAAAATTAGTCAAAAATCCTGTTTTTGAACTGTTAAGAGATATCAAGAGTTTGTGCTGAGTCAGACAGGACATTCTCCCAGTGAGGCTCTTTTTAATACTCACAAGGTATAAGAGGTAATAAAAGGTAATGGAAGGTATTACAACAAAGTGCTTGGTCAGTGTTGGTGCACCATGCCCTTTATTCCTCTTACCCTTATCAATTTACCTATCAGAAAAATAGAAGCAAAGATACACGACTTAACACAATATAGACTCACGGCCAGATGAAGAAGCAGGAGTTGTTTTATAATCATGTACTCTAAAAATGTTGCGCATTATCAGTATCAGTGCATACCTAAGGAAAGCTTTCTATAGCCAGGCTGAACAGTAAGATTCTCTTAGAGCCAAGAGGTCCAGGAACAAGGTAGTATCTGTTAAGGAGAGAGCTTGAACATACGGACCACACATTTCTCACAGTAAGACTTAGAACCCAAAAGAAATCTCTCTGGAGAAAATCCCTTCATTTATGAATTATCATTTGAATACTAACTAAAAGTGCTTACTACAGGCAAATTGGGGTCTAGAGAGATGGATCAGTAGTTAAGAGCAGTATACTGCTCTTGCAGGGGAGCTGGGTTAAATTCCCAGCACCCACATAGTGGCTCACAAAACTGTAACTACAGGTCCAGGGGATCTGACACACTGTTCTGGCCTCCATGAGCACCAAGTCCACACATGTACATACATGCAGACAAAAACAATCTTACACATAAAATACAAATAAATAAATCCTTAAGAAAACTAAACAGGAAAACTTAAGTAGAAGCCTATGATCCTGCTCACTTTGCAAAGAGAAAACAACCATTCTCAATGCTTTGCCCTATCTTTCTAGTCTTTCCCCTTTATACCTACTTTCAAAAATTATACTGTAATTATCAACATGATTTTGAAACTTGTGTTTTCATCTAATATCTCTTCCTGAGTATTTTCTAGTTCTATGATTATTTTTTTCTTGTCTTTTTTTTGGGGGGAGACAGAGTCTTACATATACAGCCGAGTCTACCTACTAAGAAAGATCTTCCTGCCTCAGTCACCAGAGGGCTGGGATTACATGTCTGCATTATACCACAACTAGCTTAATATGCTTTTTTTAGGGCTGTTGAGATTGCTCAGTAGTTAAGAGTACTTGTTCTTATACAGGATCCATCACCCATTTCTTGGCTCCCAACAATTCGTAATTCCAGCTCCAGGGAATGTAACAGGCATGTATGTGGTGTACATATATGCATTCAGGCAAAACATTCATACATATAACATAAATCAAAAAAATAAATTTTTAGATTAATTTTATGTGTATGAGTGTTTTGTTTGAATGTATGTATGTGCACCACATATGTGCCAGGTACCTATGATGTCAGAAGAGGACATCAGATCCCCTGGAACTGGAGTTATGGATGGTCACGAGCCACCATGTTGGTTCTGGGAACTGAACCTGGTCCTCTTTAGAGCAACAAGTGCTCTTAATATCTGAGATACCTCTCTAGCCACTACCTTGTTTTTAGAAGATCTCGATCTCTCTCTCCTCTCTCTCTCTCTCTTTCTCTCTCTCTCTCTCTCTCTCTCTCTCTCTCTCTCCCTCCCTCCCTCCCTCCCTCCCTCCCTCCCTCCCTCCCCCTTACCCCCCCCTTTCTGCTGGAGAGATGGCCCAGTGGTTGAGAGCACTGACTGATCTTCCAGAGGTCCTGAGTTCAATTCCCAGCACCCACATGGTGGCTCACAACCATCTGTAATGAGATCTGGTGCCCTCTTCTGGTGTGCAAACATACATACATACATGCAGACAGAACACTGTACACATAATAAATGAATCTTAAAAAAAAAAAAAAAAGATCTCTCTCACCTAGAGTTCAATAATTAGGCTAGGCTGCCAGAAAGTCCCAAGAATTCTCCTGCCTCTACCTTCTTGCATTAGAGTTTTGAGTATGCACCATCAGGCCTGTTTTTTTTTAAACTAGCATCTCATTATGGTTTTTAATAGCTTGCATTATGTTTTTTTGGAATGAGTTGTTGGTCATTTAACTATTTTGCAAGTTTTTGCTTCTTTGTACTTATTTTTGTGACTTAATTCAATTCTCAAGTGTGAACTTTTGTGTGTGTGCAGGTACATACATGCTTCTGCACACATATGCAGAAGCCAATGATGGGTGCCTTCCTCTATTGCTCTCTACCTTAACTAGTAAATTAATTGTTGCATGTATGTTTGGGGGTATATACTTGCTACACTGTGCCTGTGGAAGCTAGAGGACAACATGGTGGAGTTGGCTCTCTCCTTCCAACATGTGGATCCTTCAGATAGTACAAAGGTTATCAGGCCTGGTGGCTATGATTACCCACTGAGCCATCTTGCTGGACCCCTCTGTACCCTATGTGTTGAGACAGTGTCTCTCACTGAACCCAAAGCTCCACCATTTCAGCTAGGCTAGATGGCTAGTGAGCTCCAGAGACTGGCCTTTCTTCACCACATGATACTGGGGTTGCAGGCTGCAAAGACACATGGGTGCTGGGAATTTGAACTCAGATCCTCCTGCCTTCACAGCAAGTGCTCTTATATCCACTGAGCCATCTCTTCATCCAAAAAGTGACAAATCTGACTTAGCGCAGTGAACATTTCTATCAATTTAACACCATGCTACTTTTTATACTTGTTTACTTATGTATTGGCTGGTTTTGTGTGTCAACTTGACATAAGCACCACCCACAATGGGCTGGGGCCATCCCATCAATCACTAATTAAGAAAATGTCCTACAGCTGGATCTTATGGAGGCATTTCTCAACTGAGGTTCCCTCATTATAGATAACTCTAGCTTGTGTCAAGTTGACATGACTAGCCAGCACAAATGATCCCTTGTCAACTTGACACACAAACACATCACTAATAAGCCACAATCCTTCCTTTCTTATTTGTCAAGATCTCACAATAAAATCATAAATAACTTTAAAAGTCCCACAGTTTTTACAAATTCAAATACATTAAAATCTCTGTCTCTTTTAAAATATTCAATCTCTCTAAAAATTCAAAATCTCTTTTAAAAGTCCAAAGTCTTTCAGCTCTGGTCTCCTGTAAAAATCAAAATTACATTATCTTCATATTTCAAGAGTGAAGAAGCAGGACACAGTCACAATCAAATCAAATCAAAACCAAACCTTAACCGTGTAAACAACACAATGTTCAACGTCTAGGATCCACTCAGGGGGTCACTTCCTATGCTCCACCCTCAGCCACACAAACAACATGTCTTCTAGGCTCTGGTTGGCTCCACTCCACTGCTGCTGCTGTCCTTGGTGGCTATCCCACTGTACCACCATCTCCAAAACTGCTGGGGTCCTCTGCTGCAACTGGGATGCACTTTCAACATCTCTGCATGACCCCTTCAATCCTCGGCCTTAAACTGCCACTGAGGCTGCACCTTCACCAATGGCCTTTCCTGGCCTCTCAGCTGCTCTCCATGACCCCTTCATGCCTTCCAAACCAGTACCACCTGGGTGACTCTTACACTACCAAGTTCGGCTGCCAGCACACGGTACAACCTAGGATGCCTCTGGAACACAGCTTCTCTGTGCTCTCAGGAAACACCTCCCAGAAGATGTCACCCTAACAATGCTGGTCTCTTCTTAATCAATGTCAGGTTCTCAGCTCTTGCCGACTAGCATCAAGTATCCAAGCACTGCAAAGGTTTCGCTTTAGTAGTTCTGGTATCTTGTTAATCACAGCTGATTCTTCAGCCCCAGCTGACCACACCGACAGAACTAAAATAGCAAATGGCCCTGATAGTCTTGAATCTTCCCTCTGAAACTTCACAAGCCAGGCCTCCATCCTCTGTACTTCTCTCAAATTCTTATCTTTCAAGCTTCCACAGAACATTCCACTGAGCTCTCAACACTCAGTGGCTTTTCTAGCCCAAAGTTCCAAAGTCCTTCCACAATCCCCCCAAAACATGATCAGATCTGTCACAGCAGTACCCTATAATCCTGGTACCTTTGTCTTAGGGTTTCTATTGCTGCAACAAAACACCACGACAAAAAACAAGTTGGGCAGGAAAGGGTTTATTTGGCTCACACTTCCATATTGCTGCTCATCACTGAAGGAAATCAGGACAGGAACTCAAACAAGACAGGCACCTGGAAGCACAAGTGCTGCTTATTATTTTCCTGGCTTGCTCCTCATGGCTTGCTCAGCCTGCTTTGTTATAGAACCCAGGGCCACCAGCCCAGGGATGGCACCACCAATAATGGGCTGGGCCCTCCCCCATTGATCACTAATTAAGAAAATGCCCTACAGCTGGATCTTATGGAAGCATTTTCTAAATTGAGGATTCCCTTCTCTCTGATGACTCTAGCTTGTTGACATAAGACTAGCCACCATAAATATGTATATCTTATCAAGCTGCTCTCTTAA